GCAGTACGGAGGGGACGTCTGCCCTGTTCTGGGCCTGTTCCCCTGGTCAGGAAGGGTTTCAGAGGCTAGATGTGTCCCTGCACTGCTGCTCATCTTCCCCCAGTCCTTGCTGGGCACAGCGAGGCTCCAGCCAGGGACCCAGGAGAGCCCCTGGGAGCCAGGGTGAGCTTGGAGAGTTGAGGGCTCATCAGAGCAAGGTGGGATGACTTTCCAGATGAGAGGAGAGCAGTGACTGAGCCTACAAGTGTGCCCTTGGGCTACCTTCACTGGGCAAGCTACTGCAGGGAGGGAGGGAAGGCGGCTAAGCAGTGCTGGGGTGATGGTGTTTTGGGGGCCCTGACCAGGGGAACCCGAGGACCCAAAAACGCTCACAGGATGAACTCTGCTCCAGGAGCTGGCTGAGCCTCCTTTGCCTTTTCCCTGGGGCTTCCAGCAGAAAAGACCTGGGGATGCACCAGGGCGGCGGCAGCAGCGCGGAGAGGCGGAGGCCAGCTGGGGTTTCTCCCCTGCCCTTTGCACACCTGCAGCTGCCCCAGCTCTGCTCCTGCTGCTGCTTGAGAGAAAAACTCCCAGGGCTCCTGTTGCGTGCCAGAGGTGTTGCATGCTGGCTGAGGCTGCGTGGCTTGGGATAGCACCAGCGGTGATTTCCAGCCTGCTGCAGCCAAGCAGAGCAAACTGCCTCCAGCACCATACTGTAAAGCTCTGCGTTTTTTCCTTCTCTTCCTAGCAGTGACGGGGCTGCCAAGCCAATGACTATGTGGGCAGAGGTTACTATTAAATGGTTTCCTCTGATGCCTGCAGCAGATGCTAGGCTTGCTGCAAGCAAAATCCCTGTGGATACTGAAACAAGCTGGAGCTGGTCCTTCCCCTGCTAGGAGACAGGAGCCTTGCACCTAGCTCCCGGCTGCCCCTTGGGTCTCCCCGGCTGTGGCACTCTGGGAGGTGGGAGCTGAAGACGGGAAGCAAGGGCTGTGCCCAGGAGCTGGCCGGGGCTTGGGGAAAGCTTGGCAGAACAAGGGCCTCGGCCCTGACTGGGTGCCAGGGGAATCCCAGAGCGCGCTCCTCGCATGCAGAACCGCATTCCTTCCCACGCGTTTCCCTGGGAGCGCTGACCTGCTCTAGGATAGTTTGGTTCACGGAGCCCTGGCTCTCGCAGACCCACTGAACACCCAGCAGACATTAGCGCGGAGGGCAACAAACTCTCCCAGGGGCTTTTCTCGCGGGCGGGGAGAACAGTGTCCGTCCCCTCGCAGCTCAGACCTGGCAGGGATTCAACCGGAGAAAATAGCATGGGCTTAGGCTGCAGGGAGCAGGTCTCCTTTTGGCCTCCGTTCAATGCCCCCTGCCCCTTTGAAACAAGTCTCCGCGGACGTGGCCTCCCTCGAGCCCGGCCTCCCTACAGTCTGTCCTCGGCACCGATGCGACTTCGTGCCCGGCAAGCACCATGCCGGCTGCTGTTTTGCGGCCCGCTGGGCCTCGCTGCATCCAAAACGCCCCCGCAGGCGCTAGCGAACCCGGCGGAGCTGTGTTGGCTGGGGCAGCTCCTCCTGGCCCGGGGATGCGGCAGGGCAAGCCCGGCTTTCCGAGGGCCGGAGGCAACAAAACGCGGCAGCGGCAAAATCCAGCGGCGGCTGGCTTGCCCCGTGCCT